TTTAGCCTATGCTTCTCCTCTGGCAAAGGAGAATAATATCTTAAAACAATAGTGTCATCAGTCCCACTGAATTCACTTGTATAAATATTTATAAACTCTCAGTTTCCACTATGCAATATTGTATTTTTAAGATCTCTGGTTAGAAATACAGCATTAAGAGCTCCCCCTTCCCTCCTTAACATGGCACACCTGCCTTGATGGTGAAAACTGTCCCTTGAGTGCCTATCTGCATTTGACCTGTCCTCTTGAAGTGCTAATCCTGTTTATAACCTCATTAAGTCTATTTGTTTGCTGGTTAGCTCTAGGCTTGATTATTCCCTTTAAGCACTGACAAAACATGCTGAAAACAAGGTGCACACATGATAAAATTTGAATAAACAGAATTGTCAAGTGAATGCTAGAGAAAGTCCAGAATACAGCACTGAAGATGCAGAGATGTCTGTTCACAGCCTTACATGGAAATCATTGGGAGATTTGCATGAGTAATGTGGGAAAACTGGGAAATATATAGGTGCCTGTGATAAAGGGCTCAGATTTTTCATCTCATGACAAATGATCAAACTCCACTTACATCAGTGGAACTGCAGTGATTTATTCTAGCTGAGGATCTGGCCTTGTGGTTTGTAAAATCAGCTGTGAATATGCAATGAGGATGATTTGTGTTTCATCAGAAAATCTGAGACCTTTCAAATAAATATTCAATGCACTTAATACGTTGCTAGAGGAGGATCAGTTGCAGGAGTACCAAAGGATTTCATATGATATCAGACCCTACAGCTTGTAGCAATGCTGTACTGTGGTTTAAGGCTGACCTAATGAATAAAACAGCCCATAGTGTTTTGTCCTATGCTCATTCCTGTGTTAAACAGGTGTTACCACAGAGCTTTTAAAAAGCAGATGTCCTGTCTAGTTTTCAAGACATCAAGTGCTCATGTCAAGTCCCTTGGCCAGTTGTTTCAGTGGTTAATTACTCCTCACTATAAAGAGAAAATGATGCTTAATGTGGCCTAAATTTGTGTAGCCTTATCCCCTGGTGATTGAATCTTTTTATGTCTCTGTGTGCTGTGTGCTGATAACTGAAATGTTCTCCCTGGATGTTTGGTTAGAGACCAGCAAGATTTGCTTAAGGTTTTAGGTTTCAGTTGTGGCTTTCTAACTAAAGTTTGTGTTTGCCAACACAGTAGGCTTTAAAGTGGACTATGCACCCCATATTTGACTGGCTAGTTTCCACCTGAACCCTTGCTCCTGTTGGTTTCAGCCACCTGTGGTCCCACAGAAATGTCTAATAAACGACAACCACAAAAACAGCTGCAGGAGTTCAGACTCACTACATCCAAGAATATCTTTAAAGAAGGATATCAGGATCTATTCCAAATAGTGTTACCATAAAAAGTTTTGGGATTTCTTTTGCCTATTACTGCTAATTTAGTTACAAATGACAATGCATAAAATCAGTTCATGAGAATATGTATAGACACTGTGCAGTAGTAATGAATTCATATCATTAGTGCAATGAAAATAGCAATTATTTTAATGAATATGGAAAGAAACTCATTTATTTAATGCAGACTTCTGATGTCAGACTTGGGAACTTTGTAGAAATAAATAATTGATGTGAGTTATCTGCCCAATACACTCTTCCATTTTCCACTCTTCTGGCTTCTTTGGTAAATTTGTGACATTAAATGATTGCAACAGCTTCAGTCTGTCAAAGCTGAATCTTACAGGTGTTCTGCATTGCCAGCACCCTGCAAACCTTGTCCAAGGGTATTAGTGCATCTCTCCTACTACGCTTTCATTGTATCGTCTGCTAATGCAACTAATAGACTTTGAAGGATGTTCCCTGTCTGTGGTACCACCTTTGGAGTTTCTGCTCAAGTCTACTCCTATTCAGATATTCTTATATACTGACTTGTACCTCTGGCTCCATCGAGAGAAGGCTTGAGCTGTCTTTGATGTGGCTTCCAAAGTACCATTTTAAAAGTGCTTTTTTTCTCCACTTCTATGATTTTAAAATGGCCAGATAGATTAAAATTTTGGCAAACAAAAATATACCACCTTCAAAATTCATGCCTTAGGAAACATAGCTTAGTGCTGGACATGGAGGGATCAGACAAATTTTAGATCATACACAGTTGCTCACCTCATTCACCAACATGTTCCCTGCACAGACCCAGAGTTCAGGAGCATAATAAAATTGCTGGAGGCAGAGACAGGGAGGGAAATGAATGTCCCCTCTTATGCTGTGTGTTGCCTAAGATACTGATTTACCATGAACATAAGCCAGTGTTGCAACAGTTAAATGGAAGAAGGGGGTTGTTTTCCTCTCTAGGTTCACTGGACCTTACGTGGGCCTGTTCTTACTTGTAGAAGACCAGCTGATAAATACCACAATGTATTTTTACATGACATGCTGCACTTTTCCTGTCATGGGTATGAGGCAGGAGAATGCTGATCTGCTCTGTACAGCAGTAATTCCCTCCAGTGACTGTTAGGAGTAATTAAAACAGCTTCTCCACAATGAAAAACACATGGCAATACCTAATTAGGAGAACTTTTGAAACAGAAAGAATAAAGTGCCTGATGCTATTCATGTCCCTCTGACAAAGGTGTTACCCTGGGTAACAGACTTTGCTGGTTTAAACTTGCACAGGGAAGTCTTCATTTGAATTCTCCTGAAGTGTACAGCAGTGTTTTCCATGTGGGAAGTATCTTCATGCCTTCAGTTCGTTTGAGGTCAGTGGAACATCTTGCAGTTGGAGAAGTGCTTTGTGTGGGTGTGAGCTGTCCACATCCCCTTTCTCCGTGTGTCCATCTTTCTGGGAGCCAGCACTACTGCTCACTGTCTGTGCTGGCCTCTGCTCCAGCAAACCCAGCAGCAGCCTGGCTTCCTGCAATGCTCACCTTGCTCTAACTCTTAAAAAAAAATGTAGCACACTGCCTAAAACTTCATGTGCTAATTGCTGACACAACCTGAATTATGGAGTCATAAACAGAGAACATTTACTGTTGCAGGGGGAATTATTTACAGTAGAGAAGTATGTGAATACTGAATTCTCTGAGTGATTTCTGGGTGGATTTCACATTTAATGTATGGTAACTACCTTGATAAAAGTCCTGAGAGAATAATTCCATCTTGTAGCTTTTTCATGATTGCTATTGTATGGGTTATCGATCTTACACTTTTCATTTAGATATGCTAAACAGGGCTTTTCTTCCATTAATAATGAGAAAATTTCCCCTTTTTTTTGTATGCTTTTCAGAATTAAAATTAGTATTAACATTATTTGGCTATCTGTTTGGGATGGGAATTTCAATGGTGGGAGCAAGAAAGTTAATTTCATTTTTAGATTAATATAACTGAGTAGAGAAGAGCAACACAAAGGAGAATTTGTGGGACGACTCCTCTCCAACATGGGTGGTCTATGATGATAAAATTCTTTTCTTTTTGCAGAAGAAAAGTTTTGGAAACCCCAACAAGCTCCTCCCTTGCCTTAAGATCCTTATTCTGTAAAACTCTAAAATTTGAGCTGCCAATGCAAACACATTTTTGTAGACTCTTTAGAGACACCAGGTGAAGGGTGATGGCAGCTCAGCCATGCTCTGCTGCAATTTCTTCTGCACCACAGCAGAAGTGAATACAGCAGTTTGCAGTGCTGGGTGGCAGCAGCTCCATTCCTGGGGCAGTTTGTTCTGCTGTTTATGTCCTCTTTGTGTCTCTGTCCCCAGTGCTCTCAACAATGCTCGGCTTCCTGTGACATTCCTGGCAATTGATTTTTACTAAACAATTAGCAAATATGGCGAGGTATAGATTTGGGGTTTCTGCCGTAAAACAACTGACTCCACCCCTCTGCTCTTTGTTACCTCGATTCTCCTTTCAGCCCCAATATAGAAGGTGAATTCTTTGTTAATTTTGAACCTTATCTGGTTCAAAACTACTGCACAAGCCTGATGGCCTTTTTGGTCCAACACAGGCCCAAATGAGCCTACAGATATAACACAGGTGAATTATTTCTAAAGGCCAACTTTAACTTAAAAGGCTAATATCACTGGAAGAGTCCTGTATAATCCATGGAGACAAACTTAGACTTGGGAGCCCAGCAGGGAATGGGTTGTTGGGTTGTTAGTCCAGTGCAACAACCTTCTTGTCCTTCTAACCCTCCTCTGGCAGGCCATCCATCACAGAAGTAGAAAATACAATTTTTACAGAAGACTGTTACTGGTTCCTCTCTCAGTTTTCCCGTTTCAGATTAAACTACTCAAATTCTTGCAGTGCTTTCCACAGAAATTTCGTTTTCTGGACCTCTGATCCTGTTCAGTGCTCCAATTAAACTCTTACCTGATGGCATCTGATTGTCTGGAAATGCAGAACCCAAATGTGGTGCTTCTCCAGGGCCTTCTCCCTGCTGAAGAGAGCAGAAGGGTTGTTTCATGAACCTCACAGGGAAAACAAGCCCTCAGGCCTGTTAAAGCACATTTGGTGGTTGTGGCTAGAGCTCTCATTTGTTAAATAATTTTCAGTTCCAAGTCTGTTCATCCTTATGTGTGGCTCTCCCTTAATTGGCATGATCTGCAGATTTAATAAGTGTGGTCTCTGTTTTATCATCCAGATCATTAGTGGAAGTATTCAATAGTCCTAGACACAGGGCAGCTCCCAGTGGAACACACGGGTCCATTCTGCTATTTTGATGCTGAAACATTGATAACTGCTTTCCTAAGTGCTGTTTTCCAACCACTTTTGCATTCTTCCCACAATGTGAAATCTCCACACTTCATTCATCTGTGAGACTGCTCTAAAAAACAATAGGTAAAGTCAGTGTATGTGACATCTGCTGTTGTTCTACCTGCAAAACCTATCACCTCTCAGGAAGAAATTATTTTGACACAATTTGTTCTTGAGAAATCCGTGGTGGCTGCTACTCAAGTCCTGCTTTCTCCTAGGTGCATACCTGCAATGTGTTCAGCTATTTGTTGCAATTTGGGTTTTTTTCTTTTCCTAGGATTTCATGTTGCTTCTCTTTAACTTTTCCTTTCAGAGCAGGAGCCAAACCCAAGAGTTGTGAATGTGCAGAAGTGGACACTGATAACACCCATCCCACGTGTGAATACAGTTTCAGGTAGGAGTTCTGTGTGAGGACCCGAGGCAGAAGCTTGCTCTTTGAGTCTGCCAGGTTTCCAAGGTGACAAATTTCAGTGACCCAAGGCTCTTTGCAGAAGCTTTGCAGACAGGCCATCCCAGCACAAGTCTTTGTGTTAGTTTGGGGGTTTTTGTTGTTTGGTTTTTTTTTTTTTTTCACTCACACTGTAATGGAATGCCTACTGCTGGCTCAAGAGTTCAGAACTGACCTTGATTTTTAAGTGTGATTTAGTTTCAGGTATAAACTTTACAGGCAATTACAAAATGAAAGCTATCTGTTACAGAAAATGGTGGTGTTTTCTCCCGTTTCCTCAATTCCCTCTCCTGTAAATGAGGTCAGGAATGTTATGAAGTTAACATCATTAATGGTTGCAAAGTGTTTTGAGATCCCTGAGTGGAGGGGCTTATATAAGTGAGAAAGTCTTATTAGGATAATTATAATTTATGCCAACTGTACTGGCACAATATAGATCACTTAATGAGTTATTTGGCTTTTTCTTTCGCTCAGTCTCTGTCTCAGCTTCCCTAAGCCACATAAACAGACTGATTATTCATTGGCAACTTTCATTTTTAGCAAATAGATTTTTCACCGAAGTTCAAACTCAGCAGCAGCAGTTAGAAAATACAGGTTGGTTTCGGATCAATTGGAATTTGCAAGGCCACAGCAAAGAGGAGTGTCTCAATGCTCATTGAACTAGAGAAGCACACACTGAACCTGCCTTTGGAATTTCAAGCACTCTCTCTCCATTCCCTTGCAGTGTGCTCACTGCCAGAGCTGTGCTGGGCTGGTAACAGATGCTTGTGACTAAAAAGGTGAAGGTGAATTGGTGACTTAGGCTGGTGACTAACATGGTAGAGCTAATGGTCTCTGCGGGGGGAAAAGTAGTAGTTTGTAGTTTGATATCTCACTGCTGTGATTTACTCTCTTGTTTTGCCAGCATTTTACTTGTGTTGGTTTCAATGTGTGGTATTCTGGAACCCACCCAGAGATGGGATGAGAAAACCAACTCTTGCTGTTTTTTGGGACCTAAAGGACTATTGATAATCAGATCGCTTCCTGACCATGAAACCTTTTCTCTCAGCTAGAGTAACCACTCATATTAATCCCTGTGACTGGGAAGTAGCTACTTAAAACTTTGTGAGAGTGGATTCAGAAAACTATTAAGATTTAGAAAATTATGATCTCTTTGTAGGCATTATATTATAATGCTTAAATCAGTAGGGGTTTATTTCTTGTTGAGTGCTGAAAATTGTATCTACCATGTTGACCCATTGTAATGTGGACCCATTTGGAAATGGCAAGTGTGTTGACTGCTGTGGAACATATATGCCTTTTCTTTCCTTTCTTACCTCTTCAGTGTTCCTTAGAAGTGGTCCCAGAGGTTGTTTTCCCAATGCATGGAAACACCATGCATTTATAATGTAATCCATAATAAGTGACACAATACTTTATTATTATTACTGCTATGCAATATTTAGTGGAACCTCATACCTAGAGAACTGTCCCTTTCTGCTAAATATTTTTCAAATATACAAGGACTGAAGTCTCCACCCTGTAAAACAAATAATGTATCACGAAAGGTTTTATCCAGCTTTTCAAGTTCACCTTCATTACTGCTCTCGACAAATAATGAATATATCAGAAAATGGAAGACAACTGGTATAGTTTGCTAACTCAGTGGGGACCTGCCAAGTCCTAGTAGCCCCAAAATGGGAAATGAGAAGTTCTAAAATCTAATATCTTTCTGATTTTCCCCTTTTTATTTATCAATGTTAAAGAAAAAGGAAATTCTCAGCTAGTTCATTCCTGTGATTTGCAAACAAAACTTGTTTGTTGTTTTGCTTTCCTTTCAAAAAGGCATCTCTTTATTTAAATGTTGACCTATCAATTTAAAAGGAGAATAGGTTTAGAAAAAGGATCAATAATCTGAAAATGAGATGAAGGATTTTGTGTTGGACTGAATGGACCATTTATGCAAAGTGACATTTCAAGGTATTTATCTTTTTGTTGTCTCAAAGATATTTTTATTTGGTCTGGAGTTAATTGTTTTGTTTTCAGCATTACAAACTGCTGCACAGTTCCAGAGAGACACAAGCAGGGGAGACTCAAATTATTGTTTATTAGCTATGGACAGTGAAGCTAAGGGAATTAATTCTTAGACTTGGAATTTTTTCTGCTGTTTTCCCATGCTTTATGAATTTTGGCTAGTCCTTGCTTCTTGCTTCCTTGCGTTAATCCTCCTTCTTTAAGCACCTATTTAAATGTGAATCTCACAGCTTTTTTTGTTGTTGTTGTTGTTTTCTCTGTATTTGTTTAGGGTTTTTTAATTGCTTCACCTATACACTGTTGAAACTCACCAAGGAGAGGGAAATGTGGATTGGGACTCGACCAGGCAAACTCTACAGGCTTGGACATGGCATTCCTGAAGGTGTAACTAATAGGAGATATGGGCTTTTAAAGTAAGAAGAATTATGATTAATAGGTGTATTGCCAGGACACTTCAGTGCCAAAATTCAGTTTAGGGCAGTATTATGCCAACCACTAGTGCAAAAAATAATTTCTGCTGTGGACACCTTGTAGTTTAGGTAGACACACTGGGATAAACAGGTAAAAACAGCATATTCGACAGGACTCAGGTGGAGTTGCAGTTCCAGGAGATGGAGATGCTTGCTGGGAAGCGGGAGTCAATCAGCAGTGTGACACTGACTGCAGGGACCCCAGTGTGTGCCTGTGCTGTCAGGAGGGATGGGCACCGGGAAGGAGCTGCAGGAGATCCCCACTGCCCTTATGGGTTGCAGGCAGAAAGAGCCAGAAGGCAGCGTGCCATTTCGTACAGTCAGCCTGCTGTTATCCTGATCTAGCATGACAAATTGGTGTTCCCAGAGTGGCAGCAGAGTAATCAGACTGTGACAAATGGTTTACTTAGAGCAATTTGTTTTCATTTCACTGAAAATTTCCGCAGTCTTAAACAGAAGGTTTCCCCCTGCCTCCTCACTCTCACTCCAACTGCCTCCTTCCTCCTTTAATGGCATTTGCATGGTGTTGAGAGAGGGACTGGGACCTGACCTGTGGCCGAGAGGGCAGTGTGGCAGCCGGGAGGTCACGTTTCCAGGGACCCCTGGCTTTTTGCAGCTGGAAGCTGTTGCTGGAGGCAATGTGCTGGTTACTGTGAAGTTCCCCCTCCATCAGCCATAGCCTGTACACATGCTTTTGCTTGCATTTCTCTCATAGGAGCTGAGCTACCTCACACCTTTTGCAAGTTGCTTCCTGGTAGGTGAAGGGTATGTGGGAGCACGGGCTTCCCTGAGGGTCTGAAAAGAGTGTCTGTCTGTCTGGCACCTTTCACAATTGCTAAACCCAGCTGTGTCTACCTGAAGTACTGCCATCCACAATTGCCCTGTGGGTGACAGAACAGCTGTGCAGCCTCATCCCTGTTCACAGCACGGCTGAATCTGTCTGCAAAAAGCACACTTGCAAAATCCAAAGAGAACTGAGAGAAGGGGGAAAACTGCTAAAAATGAACAACGCCAAAAACTGTCTAGGAATTTGAGAGTGTTCAAGTTTCTGTCATGCCAGTGCCTCCAGCTGACCCTGGGATGGGGACCTCACTGCCTTTCCTGGTTCGAGTCTCAGCCCAGTTGCTGAACATGGGCTTTTCAGTGCTGTGATGCCACTGCAAGGTTAAAACTTGGATGGTTTTTCCTGCTTGGTTTTCATAGCAGAGAGATGAAAAGGCCACCTCCCCCTGGCCTGAAGTGGGGAAGGAACCGCCATGAGACTGACCTAGGAGCAGGCTCAGCTCGTGCTCCTCATCTTCTGCTTACTCCAGTTACTCTCATTTATAATAATTACCTGCTGTTTCCAAGTCCAATTCTTGCTGTTTCAGCAGGCAGTGCTTTTCATGGGCAGGAAAAGGAGACCAACACTTTGTGTAAAATAAAAGGGGTAGTGTTATGTTGGGGCTGGAGCCAGGAGCTCTGTGCTGTGGGGAAGGGGACAGAAGGGCAGGGAAGAGTTAGGCTGGTGGCAGAGCACTCTGCTGTACTTGTCCATTTGAAATGGGTTGTTGAGATGAATATTGAGAGTGTCCCACTCAACACTGTCCACAGTCACATACCACGATGAGCTTGGTGGCAGACCTGGCCAGCAGGGCCATGCCATCCAGCTCTTTCTCAGTTCTCATTTCTTTCCTTCCTGGTGTTTTCAAAAAGTACAAAACTGCCATGGGCAGAGTACCTAGGGCTCTGCAGGGGTGGCACATGCTGCTGTACTCCTTTCAATTCACCCCAAAGCCCAGAAAAGTTATTTGAGGCCTTGTGGGGTGCAAGCCTGGACACATAGTGAGCCTGGAGCATTAGAGTATGCAGTGATAGAGTCAAGGCTTTTCTCCATCCTGCTGTCTGTGCCTGTTGCTGTTTTATATCTGCAAGCAGCACTTTAAAGTTGAACTCAGTACAAGCTAATGGGATGAAATACTCAGGCCACTTTCGTATGGGAGGTTGGATGTGAGAGCCCATAAGACTCTTCTTTGACTCTGAGGTCTGCCCTCAAAGACTTGATTTGCCAAGTGGCTGCATTAGGTACTGGTGCTGCATCTTGCATCCGTTTGCTACAGCACAAGTAGTCAACAGTGTGATGCAATTTACTGCTGCATCCCCCCTCTAGCCACCAGAGACATCTATCACAGTCTGGGGAGCAGCCAGCCCAGCCCTTCTCCTGCACCTTGTCACAGTGGCAGTCGTTTGAAAATAGTGCCGTGCCACTTAGAGAGCCTGGCAGTGTAATGGCTCCCTTTAAATGAAATTCCCACTCTGTTGGCAACTTGGCTCTGCAGAAGCCCTTGGAAATAGCACAGTGGTGTGAAAGTAAGTGGTGCCCACTGGAATGTGTCCCTGGCCTTGGGTGGAATGAGCTTGCTGGCACATGCTTATACAACAAAATGACTTAAGACCATTATCACAAC